GGAGGAGGAGGAGGAGGAGGAGGAGGAGGAGGAGGAGGATACAGTACATACAGTACATTATCAAGCACTTGCTATTTGCTTGATATTTTATCTCCCACATAGATTAGAAACAGAGCAAGAGTGCACTGGTCACAGTTATGTAGTCATTATCTGCCACATTTCCAAATGGGTTGAGGCCATTTGTTTTGTTTTCTCTATCCCCATTGTCTACCTTCCCATGTATTTGATCTGTTTAGAATACTGTTCTTTGGTATTAGCAATTGTTTACAGGTGTTCAAAGAATGACCCTGAACCCTAGATGTTGGCCCCAACCCTTCCTGCCTTTTGAAAATCATTAAAGACCTGGCTCTTGATCCTATGGGTTGGCTCTTCCCTAGAGCACTTTATGTCTGTATATTTGTTTCTTAAATTAATGACATTATTTGTTCATTGTGTTGTTCTTATATGAATTCAATTGTGGATTGGTTACTGATTATGTATATTGTCCTGAATTGTGTACCAAGGGGGATGATATACAAATTGAAGGAATGTATGAATGAATACATACATATCAGCATGAAAAGCATGCATGAACATTACCAAAGCAAAACAAATAAAAAACAGTGCCCCCCCCAAAAACCAAAAAGTAAATAAAACAAAAACTCTAAATAAAATTCTACACAATCCCACTAATTTATTAAATATTAAATTATTAAATAAACACTTGGTTAGACTCTGTTAAACCTGCATCAGCACTTATACAATAGCTCATAAGAGCTGTTCCTTTACCTACAATCAGCAGCCAAATCAATTGGAGATTAGATAGATAGATAGATAGATAGATAGATAGATAGATAGATAGATAGATAGAAAAGATTTAATCCCCATCCAATATAATTAACAGTTTTGTGTTGTTTTTTTACAGAAAATTTATACAACTTCTTAGTACCACAAACTTCTTCACAAGTATATGAAGTCTATACAAGTTGTGGCCTATAACACATCCTATCCCAGTGTTAGGTCTAACTACTGATGCAGACAAATCTATCCATGCATCTCCATATGGCAGATTTATAGATATACATACTTAAAAAATGATTAGGAAAAATACTTTGGACTTCATGTGAGCCTGAGTGAAATACTTCCCTGCAATTCACTGAAGTAGCCCAAACCTTTTCAGTCTTCTTCATGAGTTGTTGCTGTTCTTGCTGTTGTTTTTAAGCAACTGCTTTAAGGAAACCACTCATTAAAGTTGATCAGACTGTTACAGGCATACCATCTATTTTCCAGGTTCATATGTAAGCCTGAAAAAGGTTTGGCTATGTTAATGAAAGCAGAGATGCACTGTATTCATAAGTCTTCCAAATCATTCTTGAAATGCTTGCAGTCCTAATTAAGATTTTTCTTTTATTAACATGTTATTGTAAACTTACTTTTTCAACAACTTTTTAAATGCATTCTGGACTTCCTTATTCCTCAGGCTATATATAATGGGATTAACCATTGGTGTCCCTACTGTGTACAGCACAGAGAAAATTTTGCTTAAGCTTGGACACCAAGTTGTTGTAGGAATTCCATATACCACTATCAGTGTCCCATAGAACACTGTAACCACAATAAGATGTGAGGAACATGTGGAGAAAGCTTTCTTTTTGCTTTTAGTTGATGGGATCTTGAGGACAGTGGAAATTATTTTAAAGTAGGATAGAATAATTAAAAAGAATGGACAGAAAGACACAAATGATGCAATAACAAAAGCAGGAATCCTCACCATCCATGTGTCTCCACATACAAGCTTAATGATGGGAGCTAAATCACAGAAGAAATGGTCTATCTGATTAGAAGCACAGAAAGGTAACATGGAAACCATTATTGTGGTGACCACTGTAGACAGAAACCCACCAATCCATGACACTGCTGTTAACTGAAGACACAATTTGAAGGTCATTATGTTTGTGTAATGCAAAGGGTGGCAGATGGCTACATAGCGGTCATAGGACATTGCTGCTAGGAGAAAGCACTCAGCCACTGCCAATGAGCCAAAGACATAAAACTGGAAAAAGCAAGCTGAAAAAGAAATGGTCTCATTTAAAATCAGAAATGTCTTCAGCATCTTTGGAACCACACTGGTAGTGTACCAGATTTCTATAAATGATAGGTTTCCTAACAAAAAGTACATGGGTTTGTGAAGGCTGTGGCTGGTCAACACAATCACCATGAGCATAGTATTCCCAATTACTATTACAATATAGACTGCAAGATATATGATGAAGGTAGGGATCCTTAATGCATGAAGGTCTCCAAATCCCAGAAGAATGAATTCTGTGATCATGGTTTGATTTGTATTCCCAAGTACGTTTCCAGCTGAAAAACAGATAAGCACAAGATAAACAATGGAATAAGAAGAATAGGAACTCTATTTCAAGTCATTCATATATTCAGTTCAAGACACACAGAAGAATATCCACATTGGTATTCCAAGCCACCCACTATCCATAGTATGAAAATATATTCATCTTCATGAGGAAAAGTGAGGGACAAAAAGTAAATACATCAGTTTGGGGATTTAATCATTTATGCAAAGGAAAGTAAATAATAATTTAATTCAAAATCACTGATCAATAATAAGAACCATTAAATCCACAGCCATCCTTTGCATATTCTGACCTATTGACCTGCATAAGCCCCTTTGATCATGTAGCATAAGGAAAACTTGAGGACTGAATATGTTCCTTATGTATATATGGATGAATTATGTGCTTTTCAGAGTAAAAGCAGCAAGATCCAGTCCCTGACATCTTCAGTTAAGGCTGGAAGTGAGCTATCTTTGGTATCTTCAAATTCACGTCAATATTACTGGACTAGATAAAACTATGGTTTATTGTAGTATAATACAATAAACGATGTCTTCAGCCCCAGATCCAACATCTTCTTGGACTCTCTTCTTCTTTTTTAGTAATGTTTTATTTAAATTTTTATGTCTTATGTATTTATATGTATTTATGGTTTTATGTTTTGTGTGAGCTTCCCAGAGTCCTCCATTGGGGGGAGATGGGCAGGGAGAAATTTAATAAGTAAATAAATAAATAAATAAATAATACATAAAATACAGATATTTTAGATATGTCACCAAAGGTAATAATGAAATTTAGCCATCCAGTGATTGGCAGTACATTCAGTGGACTTACACGCTGAAAGGTGTTTTCATGTCTAACAAAGATAAATGGCATTCTCTTTATATTTTAAATGGTAGTCAAAAGGTTTTATCTGGTTGATATTTAGATGTATATGATTTATCTTGAAGGGAACTGCTTTTGGGGCCAAAAGAAAACCAAATGTGGAAGAAGAAAAATGTGATCCATGGACAGGGAACAGCAGCATTTGCCCTCCCAGAAGTAGCTGAACTGCAATTTCCACCCCATAATGCAAGCAGCTTCTCCAAGATCGTATAATGTCCACTCAAGAGGAATAAGGAAAGGAGCAGAGTCCAATCAGTATTTATCTCAGAATAATATAATCACAGAATAGGTACGCTATTTAGTATTTGGGCTGGATACCATGTTAACAGAACTATTACATCCTTGGCTTATTTTGAATACTGTCACTGTACACCACTCTGAGATTTCATTAACATAAGAAATGTTATGCAAACACTTTCTCTCTCTCTCTCTCTCTCTCTTTCTCTCTCCCTCTCTCTCTCTCTCTCACCCCTATCATCTCTCTCTTTCTCTCTCCCATCTATTTATCTAATGTCTCTACCACACGTGTGTCTGTCTGTCTGTCTGTCTATCAAATAAGTCATATAATTACAATTAGACCTATATTACTCCAGGGTTTATACATTAATCAATATATATCAGTACAAAACAGTATATTGTCTGGATATTATCAGTGATCTCACAAACTGAACAAGCAATCTTGCTAAATAAATAAAATTATAATTTTTTTATTAAAATGATGTAAAAACAGATATCTGAATATTGGCAGACATGGAGGATATTTAATAGTAAGGTGTTTATGATAAGTTATTTAAATATGGATTTAAATAAAACAAGCTTATTGCTTAATCAATATGCAAAATGTGAACTAAGGACTTGATATAAAAAACATTTCACCTGATACATTTAAATATTCAATATTGCACTACACTGAATCTTGATATTAAATTATTATCAAAATATTTATAAACTGCTTTATGTCAGTCAGGGCTGACTTTGATCAAATAAAATAATACAACACAATAGAAATACCTTTGAGAAAAAAATGAAGCTACTTTCTCTGGAATTTAGAAGAATTGGTGAATTGCCTGATCCACACACAGGACCAAGATGAAGTAAAATATATGGGAGGCTACCTTCCTGATGATATCTAGTCTGAATCTGTATCACCAATCATTAAAAAAAGAAGTAGATATGTCCATTCTTCTTTGCATTCTGAACCTATGCAAGATTGTGTCCTAATGCACTGGATATAATTTGATAGTATTTTTTCCATTTACATGATTGTAAGGTGTAATCATCCCCCATCCCCTCCCCAATATTCTACCTAAAGGGAAGTGGGAGGAAGAGCAAAAATAATCTTCTTTTACCTTCATTCATTTCATCCTCATCTTCAGACTCTAGCTTGAGATATGTAGCATCCCTGCATATCCCAGAAATGTATTCCTAATTTAAGCCCTTAAAATACAACTAAGCAATAACATGCTACATTAGGATATTGGCACATTCAGTGCCTAATTTCAAAGTTCTTAATTTTGAAGAACTAGCAGATGAAATAAGAAATAAGCAGAATATTGCACTTAGTAGCAACAGATTAATATATTAAGCAGAGATGATATTTATTTGTTTGCATCAACAAAAAAATAAAAAACAACAACTGGCTTCTGCATTTCATTTTCATTTGGAAATATTTTCCTATAAAATAAAACTGATCAATGAAAAATAAAGGAGACTACTGGATAGTTCTTTGCTACTTAACAGTTCCATTTGTTGGGGAGCTTATGAAAGAATGTGATATGTGCATAGCATGCTGGTTGTATCAGACCTATTAATTATAACAATTTAATGTCCCTTGTGCATTATTTTCCCCATGGGATGCTCTTTGAATGTAGACACAATAAATATGAAATGAGCTAAGCCCATTTTCCTCACTCAGATCACTGTATTACTGAATACAGTAACCAGCATTACTGAAAAAATGAGGTTGCAGAAATAACTATAATTTCTGATGTCAGTTTCTGAACAAATTAAAATTAAGCGGATAAAGTTTCAGTAAGAAAAAAGGATTGACAAGTACCTGGACATGCTCCTTTTTTCTTCTGAGTACTCCCACATTTTGCCTTACTCATATCCTACAAGATCCACATATAGCCCTCAACTTCAAAAAAATCTTCCAAGCTGTATAGCATAGGTCATTCCAAAAGTTCTTTTCTTTTCTTTTTTCCTTCTCTTCTCTTCTCTTCTCTTCTCTTCTCTTCTCTTCTCTTCTCTTCTCTTC